TAGAAAGTTAATATAAGCGGATTATATAGTTTAAGATCATTTTCTATCGTGAGCCTATAAGCCTTGACTTCGTCATATTTATGTGAAAGAAAGTGCCAAAAAAAATATGTAAGTGAAAAATGTGAAGTGTTAGTTTACAAACATAGGAATTTGGATTGATTTCCTACACACTTTTTGTTCAAACAACAATTATGTACCGAAAAATATAATTACTTTACAGATTTGGACGGTTTATTTCATTCCTAACTTACGTTCAGTTGAGTCTTTTTTAGATTTTAGTAACAGAATTCAATAACTCTCATATATCCGTAAACGAAAACAATACTTTGTCGTTGTTTGGACCCTTTATTACCAATCTCATATGAACCAAGTAGAAACTGTTCAGGGAAGTTTTCTTTCCGCTCCTTGAGATCCTTTCAAAAATCTCCCGCCATATGAAAACAAATTTAACTTAATACTGTTACCGTCATTGGTTAGGAGGAGGCGGGAAATGATCGCATTGGTTTTTATGGTTGCATTGATTCGGCATTCTCTTCTTATCTCTTAAACTTTTGTCAACCGAATTGCCCGAATTGGTCTTCACGACATTATATTCTTCTGAGACTTTCTCATTGCTGCACTAATGATCTGCTGCTAGATCACATTAGTGATTTTTTAGATCCTAACATATATATATATCACGAGCAAGTCCATATATGGAGATAAAGTAGAATTTTTCGTTTTCTTTGAAGGAAACTGAAAAATAACAAAATTTTTGCGAAGTAAATTGAATCTGCTAAATTTGGACTGCATCCTCCAACATCTGCGCTTTCATGAAAAGTATGCCTTTGCATGAAAATAATAAGTAATTTTTAATGTCTTATTACCAATAATTGCGCGAATAATTGTGTCAGACGAAATGTTGTAGGGTACTTTATGGCCGGCCTTGCCCAATTATAATGTTCTTACCAGTTTTCTTTTTTCAAACCAATTTGAAATAAATAAATTACTAAATGAATATCCAAATAGTTGGCATTTGTTTTTCTGCAAGAAACAAATAAATTTCTTGTGTATATAAATTCTACTCAAGTCAATTAAAAATAAGTAAAAGCATCATAAAGAGCCATGGTCAACTAATAGTTACCCTACACCATCCTATAGTTATTCATACAACATTTCTTTCAAAATAAGGCGAATTGAACGAGTGGTCCAAACCACTGTCAATAGCGTTCGTTCTTGGGCCAAAACACGCCTGTGTGCGAAATATAATGGAAATATCTCAAAAATTTTGTCGTTTAGGTAAAACACAAAAGAAAACAAGATAGGTGGGCAAAGTTAAATCAATTCGGAAAATAATTTTGAATCGATTGGTATAATAAAAAGTGCATCTATTTCAAGGTCTCCTGTGTGCGGCGCACCTCGGCACAAACTTAAAATACTCTCTTGCCACAAGTGGTCCAGAGTATAGAAAAATAGAGCAAAGTATATTTTAAAATAAGTAAGAACACTATAGTCCGGCAATACCATACACCACTTCGCTTAATACGGCCATTCATTCATTTTCGTGATGATATACCAAAAATTATACATTAATTCCATGTAAAAGCATACTATTCAAAAAAATGCTCATATTAGAGCAAGTTCAAAATGTCAACTATCCTGGGGAAAATTTAGCAAACTTTGTTTGCTTGTCAAAAATTTCATTTTTCACTTGCTGCTGCCATAAAAAAACAGAAATTTGTCATCATAAAATAGCCTGCTGTTCATTAGAGCCCATATATGTGATGAGAAATAAAAAATATACCTATGTGATCTAAATTATGTATGGTTAATTTTTATTCTGTATTGCTATTATAACCCAATTTTCATCATAATATATTAAAACTTAAATCTTGTTGCTAAATAGTTTACTATTCATGAGAACTCTTCCTTATAAAAAGAATGGCGTCCAGAAAACAGATCCTTGTGGTTTGAATTCATTTCAGTTAATTTTTATGTCAAATTACAATAATATTATAGACAGACTTTAGTCCTAAAATATTAAAAATTAAACTCTTTTAACATACAAATAATTATTTTTCATGAGAATTCTTGTATAGCCAAAAAATAAACTTGAAATTTAATACATGTAGGTTTCACATCAAATTACTTTTACGAAATCGTTTTTATTATAAAATATCAAAAACTGGACATTTTTATAATGTAAAGGTTTTTCTTTGTCATTAAAACCCTCAAATAGGGTGAGATCCAATAATAAAAACTACTGTAAGGTACTGTGGACGAACTTTCAACACGAAACGTAAAGATTCAGTTTTCATAGGAAAGGTTATATGATGACAAGATAGTTTTCTTTCTGATGCAAATTTTTTACACCAATTTATAATGCCGAAATACTATCACTCAGCGACTATTGTCGAGTATTCCAATACTTTCAAATTCTCAGCACAACTTTCGCGCTAATTTCCTGCTCGATCTTGGTCCAGATTTTACCTATTTTGAAAAGAATTGTAGGTAAGTTAACATTATTTTCTATTAATAATTTAGTACCATTATAAATTATTCCATCCGGAACTTTTCCTTCCTAATGTAGGCTTAACACAAATTTTTCTTTTAATCGGGAGTATAACGGACTATGCTACATTTATATGTTTTATAACTATAATAATTTTTAACAATACTAACTAATGCAACGCACAAAGCGATCAAAGCTGAAGAATATTAGGTAAAAGCAAAGCTTCATATTTTTTTTTCCAATAGGCGTAGAAATATTCGTGCAACTTTTTCAAAACATGCTTATTAAAAAGTTGGAAAATGAAGTTGGTGTATATTAATTCATCTCTATAAGTGCAGATTGTTTTCCTCTTACTTGAATTAATTAAAATAATTCAATTTTTTACTTCCTTTGAAAGGCAATTTGTTGATGAGCTGAAATGATCTCTATCTAAGTAATTGACATTTTTTTGAGATTTTTGTTTTAAAGGATCCGAACGTTTAAATTTGACCATATTCCCATGCCCGACTTTCGATATCTCGTGAATTCGGGAAAATGGTTTCAATATCATCGTAGATAAATTTGTTTAAGCTTAAAACTGATTTGAAGTAAGGTACCAAGTAAAAGGACAGTGGCTCTGTCTTGCGAACATTTAACTGCTATTCAAAAAATTTTTTTTAAAGAAAATCCAAATTTCTTCCAGCTTGCACGACAACGCAATTTATCAGACTTTATTTAAAGCTTCAAAACAGTTTTGAATGATAATATTTATGGTATTAATTTTAATAGATTTTTAAGATATTTCTTACCTAACATTTTATCGTAACGCTACAATTTTCTCTTTAGGTTAAGGCCAGAATAAATATATCTTTGCCGAAACACACGTAATATAGCTTTTTGAGGCTTTGATTGCATATGTCGAATTATGGTCAAGGACACAAGCGTGTGTTCCCTTATGAAAAAGGCGAGTTCAAGCCGAAAAAGTCAGGATGTACATTGGTAAAATTAAAATTGGCAATAAAAAGATTAGTTCAAAAACAAAAGCTGAAGGGTTATAGGTCTGCACGTGCGATACCGTTTTCTAAGAACGCCCCACAAAAAAATACCCTTTTTTATTTTAAATTTCTTAGATTGATTGATTTTAATTTTTATTTCTAAAAGTTTCAGTTTGAAACGCCGGACGTGGATAAACTGTAGAAGATTTCAATTCGAGAGAAAAATGTAGTGGTAGAATACAAAAACGGCATATCACACTCGACAACGGGACATGTAAAAGAAGACGAAAGTTATCCTCATGTACTTAATTAGTAAGTTCTCGGCTATTGTAGAAATAGGGTGCATTATCCTCCGTTGTCCTTGAAGACTATCATCTTAGTTTCTGGTTTTTCGAAGGTCTGTGCACAGGTAATGTTAGAAAAGTTTGGGTTGGACTTGAAAACTAGAGACTTGCTTTGCGCTAGTCAATCTGATTATAAGTTTGGTCATAGTTGCAATATGGCAATGCTTAGGATTTTAGAAAATATTTGTTCGAAATGTGACACGAATGGGGTTTAGCCTTTCAAGCTAAACTTTTGCTCGTGCGTTGATGCAAATAGCAATATCACGATAACGCGTATTCATAATATTTTCGAAAAATTGTAATTATCTTCATATTATGTTTCAACTTTCGCCAAATTAAGACTGATTAAATTCTTTGCTTTGTAAACTGAACGGATCTTCTTTTTTCTAAACAAAAACTTGTGGCTTTTTGCTCATTATTCACAAACTATAAAAGATAGAAGGCTGAAATCCACATATTTCCACATTTCTATTTATTTAAGTGCAAAAATGGAAAAAGCGACCATGCCCGCACAAGTGATTACATTTTCCTTTTTTCACTTTTTTGGGGTTTCATGTTTTATTAATTTCACCCTATGATAGACAGAATGTTTAAAACTATTTTGTACATTCCTTAAATGAAGATATGTTTTCTGCCTAAAAATGTTTTGATTCTAAAATAAACATGGCAGACACCACGATCTGGCGAATTCTTAATAATACCAGCGATATGGGTATCAAATCGTAGGACTTGGGTACTAGAAGGCGACAAGTGAGATGCGTTAGTTCTCAATTAATTGTGGCGGAAGTCACAACATGGTGGATGCATTTTTTCTTAAAAATATGCATAAAAGGACTTGAAACAACAAAACTTTCTTAACAACACTTTTAAGGGAAGTAAAAAGTGAAAGATGAATTTTATCTGATTCACTTCTTGATGACAATAAATAATAGCATAGCGTGCCAAGCATATTAAAGTTTTGCGAGATTCGGGCTTAGCCGAATATAACGTTCTTACTTATTCATTAATAAACTGAACCGAAAATGTTCCATACGAGGATTCGAGCAGATAAGCTAAATCTATTGAAAACACGGTGAAGCTTAAAGAGTATCTATTCTGTTTGCAGAACAACGGTCTATCCCCTTTTACTAGCATTATCCAACTATTGCTTATAAAAATCTATAATTATTTTATCTCCCTTCTTCTTTTCAGAAATTTTGGCCGCCGTATAGCGTGAGTGGAATGCTCATCAAATTGCGTGTTTTTTTTCTGTTTGCAACGCTATAATTACTTTTTCTATATGTATTTACATAATTAATCACAACGTAACGCTTAAGAAAACTGCCTCAACAGTTATTTATGCTCAGGCAAATTAAAATTATAGTGAAATATTAACAAACACATGAAAATCCTACGCGCGTACACGCATTTATGTCCTCCGCATATATAAAAAGGAAGATAATAACAATTAATAAAACTATTCGCCTTGTAGTGAACTGTGAGCACTCACCATCTAAGATAAACGTATGAAAACAGTTCAACTTTTACTAATGTGTAAGTGCTGACCGAAGTATTTCCCAAATATCAAATTAATAACTAACTCAACTTATATGTTATAGAATAATATATTTTCAGATAATTTATAATTTGTATATGTATTATTTATATCATTTATAAGAAATAATTAGTATACCTTCTCAGGTCGTTTTGTTTTTAGTTATTCCTATTTGCAAAAATGGGCTAAGAGCGTGCACATTTGCGTCGTCGTTTTTTCAGTTTTTCTATTTCTTTGAAAATCCTAACAATGAAGATAGTACGCTCTACCGTTACCAAGAAACTAAAGAATCTAGTACAACTGTATAAACAAAGTGCGAAAATATGCAAAAAGAACAATGAAATGAAAAAGAACAATGAAATAAAAATATATTAAAAAAAAAAATGAAGGAAAACAAACGTTCATATCAATGAGCGCAAGAATTCGCTCATGTCTAGGAATGTGTTAGAGAATTTATTCAAGGAAACTCGTATTTGCTCTTGTGATGAAATCGTCAAACTTGTCGTCGAAAAGTGCGCGACTTGACACATAGTTGGATTCACAAGGCATTTTCTAACAAAGGCTGCCCCAAACAATAAATTAATAATTAATTTTTTGCGCCGGCAGTCTAACTCATAATTTTCATTTCTCTTTTTTATTTCCCATTTTATCCTTTTTTTCTCACCTTCCCCCTTATTTGTCTTCTTTTTATTTCATTATATGTTTTTTTGTGTTGTCAGTTGTAATTTGCACTTTCGCGCGCACGCATGCAAGTTAAATTTTCCTCCAATCGAAGACACTTAATGAGAGGGCAACGCGCTTAAAGTTTTCTTCATGTAGACAATTGATGATAAGAAATGAAATAATAAATAGATGAAAAAAAAAAATGTCTTTTGTATAAATCTCCTCATTTCTTAAATGATACAGCAGTTCAAAAATGAATAATAAGAGTAAATAATTAAAGCAAGTGTCAAAATCCGTTGTGTTGTTTTAAAAGTGAATATAAATTAAATAACGTAGTCTTATAAATTATATGAGAAGTGATGTATCTTAGGATAAAAGTAAAACAAGTTATGTAAAAGAATATGTATCAATAAATAATTTAATAAATACATATATATATATATATATATATATATATATATATATATACATATATATACAAAGTGTACATATATGTATCTTTGTGTGTATATGTATTTATGCATTTATTCACTTTTATATATATACATGTAATGAATGTTGATAAGAGATTAAAGAAAACATAAAAAATAATCTAAATATGAACGAAATCATATTGAAAAAATATTTCGCCGGTAAGTGAAAAAAGTGTGCGAAAAAATGTACATGCGTTTGAATACAATTCTCACAAAGTAAAACTTCAACGTTTTCCGTATCGCTATTTTTCGGTATGCGTGCATAAATATATGGCACTGTCACTTAAATGTAAATCGATTTAATGTTTAAATTTTGTCTTAGTAGAACCACAGAAACCTTTGAATTGCTTTATGTGGTTGCTTTTGATTGCATATCGGTTAAAAATTTGCACTTCTACACATATTATGTAAAGTGTTTAAGCTATCATCAATACGAGTGTATAACAACGGGGTAGGGTACTCGGTTTGAAGCCATATGTTTGCACGGGTAACTTCGGCATGAAATGGAAGCAGCCATACGTTCTTCAGTGCAGGTTGGTGGTCCGCAACCGCCATCTAATAGTGGTCAGACACAGCAGCAACAACAACAATCGCAACAGCAACATCATCATCATCATCATCATCATCATCATCACCATCATCACAGTCAACAGCAACAACAACAATCACAAATTCATCATCATTTGCAGCAACAGCAGAAGCAGCACCAACAATCGGCGGTCAACAATGATAGTGGACCGGCGCACCAACAACATCAACATCATCAACAACACCCCCAGCAGCAACACCAGCACCAGCACCATTTGCAGCAACAAACTTCTACGCAATCCTTACAACAGCAATCAGCCAATCTTTCACCCTATCCTCAGCAACAAAGGATATCATCGACTGCATCGTCTATTCATAGGTAATATCTAATTTTTTTGTTTTTTCTGATAATTATGCTTCGACTTATATATATTAACAGTTCGATAGGCTGTGTAAAATCGTTCAAGAATTGAAAAAAGAAAGAGATAATAAATTTGTTTTTTATCTCTAACTAAAGCTTTCTGTATTACCTTTTAATAAAAGTATTATAAATTTTAAGGTAGTATATTAACTCCCTCAAATATTTGCTACGAATGCAAGTAAGCCAACAACGTATTCGTGGTCGCCGGAATTGATTTAGTCATGTCTGTTTGTCTGCTTATCTATTTGTCTATTGAAGTCAAGACCGTGATTAAAGGGTGTAAAGACAAATTCGAATTTAACTGTCAAACATAGGTATGTCAAATAAATATAAGGAGTCGTTAAAAGCAAAAACGAATTTAAATTTGTTAAAAGAAATACCGGTTTTTTTGGTAATGTTAACAGGCCACGTGCTGTTTTGCTAATATGTAATTTTAAAAAATTTGGTAGAAATAGTTACGAAAAGCAGAATGTGAATTCGTTTAGCTTGTTCCCTATCTAGATTCACGCGATGAAAATAAATATTGGCGGAATTATTTGAATTGGCTATATTATAGTTTCAAATTTGAATATTTTACCCCATGGTCAGTTTATGAGTACATACCACCTCCCAAAAATTTGGTAAAAATATGTCCAAAAAGCGGAATTTCGACTTTGTTTAGCTTGTTTAAAAGGAATTTCTATACAGGTTTATGAAGTATCCATAGAGGTATCTTAAGTTCCCTAATTTGGACGAAGTATGCCTCCGAAGCTAGCAACATCTTGATCGTAACTAGTTAAAAGAGCTCATTTAAGGTGTTGATGGAGCTTTGTTAAATGACTTTGCTACTAGCTTTGTTAAATTCCATTTTATCTATACTCTTTCCTTATCATGCAATCTGAAATTCGAAGCTTTCAATTTCCATTTTCTCTACTTACATGGGCGTCTATGCAAACATTATTCCTAACAAAATATCATCCTCCTACCGGTGATCGACCTTTAATGTGTTTCCATATGAAAGTGATTAATAGACCTTAAGAAATTCATAATTGGCAGCAGCGATTGAACACCGGAACTTTTGGCCGCCATTAAAAAGCTGTGTGCACTTCCAATCTCTTAATATACCAGAGTTTACTTTAGTCAGAATAATAGATAACATGCTACCGGTTGTGATAAAGGTTTCTACATATCTGATGGCACTAAGTTTAACACATTCACGCTCATTCTAACGTCTGTGAGTACTTGCAAAAGCATACTTCGTTTTTTTTTTATTCTACGAAACTAACAATATAGGACTGCTATAGACGTCGTTTGCATCTATAAGCATACCCAATCGACATCTATAGACGTCATTTACGGGTAAAGTTTATTTTTGAAGTTTTCGAACCAAGCAGTTGTGAGTTAACTTCCATTGAATTGTTGATGGAGTCATTAGAGCTCTTTTTGTTGCAGTATATTTGCCTACCGGTGATCTTGTTTCCTCTGAAGACGGACACTTCGATTTATTATTGAGATATGCTAATATAATTATCGTTGGCAGCTTTAATCGTGAATTATTTAATATAATGAATGCCAATCTTATGTAGTCGCTTTGCTTTAAGTGCAATTTATTTGTGATTTAAAATCCAAAACCGACTAACTTTGATATCGTCCATCAAGCCATTTCACTATTCAACTTTTGGATGGGAAGCGATCGTTTTATGATTACTTATTCAGATCAAGTCCAATGTCATTCTATATCTCATCAAGCTTTGATTTTTGCGACCTTTAGCATTAATGATAGGGTCTTTTGTTTTATTGTTGACTTTGACTCACTGTCCATTTTTTAGGACTCTTAATATAGATTCCCAATTGTCGCTCTGAAATTCTCTAATTGGAATTCACTACATCTTTGTTTCGATCATGTTTTGCTACATTATTTTCTAGAATGGACTCATCAGCTATGTGGAAACTTCTCATAGGATATGACTTTTCAAATAGTAATAACTTTCGATATAGCTTTAATGTTAATGAGATTATTGACTATTTGGTTAATGTAGTTCACATTGAAGAGCCTGACATTACTAATTTTGTATATTTTGGTGATGAATCGTTGGTAGCATTATGTTATGTTAAATCCAAATCTATCGGCAATCAGAGAATTCCAATTTGTTTTTATTAACCTTATTTTCCTATATATTGCCCATTTTTTAATTTCGTCATATTAGTTTCGTATTGATTCTATACGAATCTTCTCTACTTAAAAAATCGCTTGTGTTATTCCAATTCCGACATCGAAAATTGATAACAACTTCGATTATTTGGGGCCAATTTCTGCGCTCGTTGCCTAGTCCGAGGTTGTTGAGCATATTGTCAAAAATCAAATTTTCACCTTTGCTCATAGAAATATTTCGCCTTCGAAATACATGGTGAACATATTAGCACCACCTTTTTTGAATTTAACTGATGCAATTACAGACAACGTTAATATGGATTTCTTGATATCATTGGTCTCTCTGGATTTGCCTAAAGTTTTTAATATAGTTAGTTATTCAATACCGACTAAAAACTTTAGAGCGCTTTTTAGATTTTTCAGGTCTGCCTACGTGCTTGCACATTCATATGTAGCTGAACTATATCAGTTTGCTGATATTAATGGATTTTATTCCGAAATGCCTCGCGTATTTTTGGGGTTCTCCAAGATTTCGTTTTAGGCCTCGTTCTTTCTAATATGTATGTTATTGACCTTCAGAATATATTAACACCAATGTGTTCGAAGTTTTCCGTCACTCATTCTACTAGAAATTCGCAGATTATTATTCTTCAAATGGAAGTTGTTTAGAGCAGTCCTTCATAATTCGAGTTTCTTGAAAATAAATTGCATTTGTTGCTTGTGTTTCATATTTTATAAAATGATATTGCGACTATAAACCAAAATTTCAAATCGAATAATATAAAAAAAACATAAATTAGATAGATGACTTCTAAATTAAAAATGCATTCTATTTGTCTTCCTCTACGTTTTTTTAACTTGTTTGCATACATAAAAAACCATAACATTCGGCAATTTTCACAAAGTCTCATAAAAAGTAGAGTTCCACTACGAAACTAGGAATAACGCATTGTTTCAGACCTCTTACTATTTGTACTATTTTCTTGAATTATGTTTTAGTTTTCGGTCTCTTTTTAATCTTGCAAAGGCTGAAGAAAACTTGAAATGCAAATCCAAGTCTCTATGAATTGAATTTTTTGAAATTTTGCGATAACTTACTTGTTTAACGAATCTTTAACTCTACTGTCAAGTAACGAAGGGTCACCATAATAATAAGATTAGACGATTATAAGATTTTTGTCCAAGCTGAGTGTAATTTATTTGTGTTATGTTTTTTAACGATTGTGGAAACAATTTAATATCGAAACAAAGTAAGTTTGTATTTGATTGAAAATGCACAAAAAGAGATATATTAGGCCTTCATCAAGGCTGCTAACGTCCATCATCGTTTGCATGTAGACACTTATTGGTTGCTTGAGCAATTACTTCTATAACCGGCGAAAATGCGTAACAACACTGCTTACATAACGCTACACATAAGAAAACTATAGCTATAATAAATTCACACAATTTGTGAACGTATTTCATACTTGGAAAGCCCAGGTAAGGTCGTAATGGGTATATTCAACGTCAGATAGTATATGTTCAATTTTTTGCAATTGTGGAGTCATTTAGCTGATTTTTAAATCTCCACATAAGTATAAACTAGGGAATCAGGACAAAACAGGCAGACATAGCGAAATTGATTTAAGCTAATCACATATGTGTATGTTGGTATCTCTTAGAAAATTCTATTAAGTCGGTGTATCAAACATGGCCCAAACATCTCAAAAATTTGCGACCTGTAAGCTGAACACAAGAATACAAACGACTTAAGGCCTTCTAGGTGTTGCATACATTCGCACAAATTTAATAAGCCCTTGTACCACAAGATGTGTAGGGTATAAAACATAGTTTGTTGCACTTTATTTGGATTGAACGCTCACGTCACCTGCTAAAAGTAGTCAGTTACTGTTCTGCAATAGCGAATATATCATGTTCCTCAAACACTCGCGACGCAATTACATGTATGCATACATATTTAGCAATGCTCGTCGCTTTGTTTGTCTATTTACTTGAATCATGTTCGTGCATATGAACAGAAAAAAGAAAAAATTATTCCGTATTGCTATAGTTAGATTAAATTCGAAAAATAATTTAAATGGGTTCGTGTGATCACCCCCGAAATCTAAAGATTAGAATTCTACATAATACAATTCCTTATATATTCCGTATATTGAATTTATGTACGCAGGCTTATTTGTGTGTAAGCAGTGCTTGTTTTTGTGTTATATATGTTTATGTTAACAATGATTTCATTCAAGTGTTTATAGTTATACTCTACATCATGTGTTGTGCAGCCTATATTAAGTTGACGCAGATGCATGTATAATATACATCCACAAGAATATGAGGGAAAATAGATCCGATGCGATTAATTCCGAACTATTTTCTGAATCTCTTTTAAGCTTGTCTATCTGATGTAGGTATTTTTGTGATCGATGTACAAGTCGTAAATCAGTTGTTTGGATGACATTTGATACACTGACGTTTTTTGTCCATAGGCAACGGTTGTTTAAAGCGAACTGAATTACATTTTTTTTCGATCACTTACCATATAACGTCTTATTTTGAAAAAGTCGTTGTATGAAATAAATTTGGAATCTTTAAAATTTCGCGGTGAAAACCACCAAGTATTAATTTTTTATCATACACTATTAGATAACAAAAATTTGGATTGGGTAGACCAATCTTTTGGAGATTTTCATATAACTGTTACTAAGAATAATAAGCCATTATGCTGCAAAATTGGGCAATAAATAAAGGAAGATTTCTGCACGGCTTGCACTGGCTTTACTTACACTTCCGCTTTCCACAAGTACTGAATATTGTAGAGTAATATATGCAG